TATTTATTTATTTTTATTTTTAGTGTATATTAGGGATTATATAAGATTAATTATTTAACTGTAGTTTTATTTTCTAGGGTTTAGTGGATCACGAGTGGCCTGTTCAATAACTTGTTTGTTAAATTAAATAATTTCAATTAAATTAGATTAAGATAAATACATTATACTGAATTATACTACCAACCTGGGTTAAATTATGGTTCACAAGTGGTACGGTCAATAACTTGTTTGTTAAACTAAATTTAATTTATACCACCGCCCTGGAAGAAGTTACAACCGCCCTGGTTAAACTTCAATTGTTTAAACGCCAATTTTTTAACGCCACTTAGCTACCAGGCACTTTGTTGCCAAGCCCTGTGTGAGCAAGCTCAAAATGAGTGATGCACTAGTTTATAATACACCTGCTCAATGAGAGACACCTGAGCTCAATTAACCCCTCCCCCTAACAAGAGCACTGCAACCTGAAGAAAAAAGAAAAAAAAAGGGAACAGTTTAAAAAAACTGACAGAAACTGACACAAACAGTCCAACGCCAATTTTTTAACGCCACTTAGCTCCCAGGCACTTTGTTCCCAAGCCCTGTGTGAGCAAAGCACTACACTGTACACTGTCAGTCCCGCCGCCTCAGCTCTCACACATTCGCTCCATAAGACGCACAGACATTTTTGCCCGCCTTTTGGGGGGGGGGAAAGTGTGTCTTATGGAGCGAAAAATACGGTATATATAATGAATTGTCTTACTATGGATAGGGAGATCAACTTTTTAGCATCCTCAAATTAAAGGAGAACTATGACGTGAGTGATTTTCACTCATTCTCATAGTTCGAGCCGACGGGTGACAGTGAAACTGTCAAATGTCGGCTCAATAGATCGGGAAGTGAGCGAACACATACCGTCGCTCACTCACTTCTCGATCATCTCCCTGCTGAGAGCCGTGACTGTCACTCATGGCTCCCCGCAGGGATTCCCCCCCTCCAGCGCTGACTGGAGGAACGGACTGGGGAGGGTGCGGATACAGGGGAAAACACTTATCCCCATAGTTCTCTTTTAATCATGGTAACAAAATGTAAAAAAACACAGGGGGGAATTTATCATAGCAATTGAGAGTGTTTGCACTTGCACGGAATATATTCGATGCACTTTGCGTCAGATTTATGATGTTAGTGTAATGTTGTTGATAAATGAGGTTTAATAGACTCCAGGAAAGAAGACTCGTAACGCCTGGCAAAAAGCTGGACTGTGGCATCTTGAAGAAGTGGTCATGGGCAGAGGCGGCTCTCTAATTAGGCAAATTAGGCGGTCGCCTTAGGCCTCGCGCTCCAGAGGGCCAACAGAGCCCTGGTGAGACCCCAATGAGCCCTGGTGAGATCCTACAGAGCCATGCTTTAACCAGGCCTCTGTGGGGTCTCACCAGGGCACTTTGGGGTTTCACCAGGCTGGTGAGATTACACATAGCCATGGTGAGACCCCACAGAGCCCTGGTGAGATCCTACAGAGCCATGCTTTAACCAGGCCTCTGTGGGGTCTCACCAGGGCACTTTGGGGTTTCACCAGGCTGGTGAGATTACACATAGCCATGGTGAGACCCCACAGAGCCCTGGTGAGACCCTACAGAGGCTTGGTTTAACCAGGGCTCAATGGGGTCTCGCCAGGCTGGTCAGACCCCACATAGCCCTGGTGCTGGTGAGACCCTACAAGTATAACCAGGGCTCTTTGGTGTCTCACCAGGGCTCTTTGGTGTCTCACCAGAGCTCTGTGGGGTCTCCCCAGGGCTCTGTGGGTCTAACAAGGCTGGTTAGACCCAACAGAGCCTTTGTGAGGCTCCAAAGAGCCCCGATGCCCTGGTGAGACCCCAAAGAGCTTTACAGAGCCCTGGTGCTGCTTGCGAAAACCTACAGAGCCCTGGTGAGACCCTGCTGAGTCCTGGTTTCACCAGTGCTTCTTGAGGTCTCACTTGGGGTCTGAGGGGTCTAACAAGGTTGGTGAGACCCCACATAGCCCTGGTGAGACCCTACAGAGCCCTGGTGCTGGTGAGACCTTACAGAGCCCTGGTTTAACCAGGGCTCTTTAGGGGTCTCCCCAGGGCTCTGTGGGGTCTCACCAGACTGGTTAAACCCCACAGAGCCCTGGTGAGACACCACAGGCCTGAGTGGGGCCTCATGTTTAGGTTTCGCCTAAGGCCCCGTTCACATATAGCGCGATATCGCGCATTTTTGCCGCGCGATATCGCGAGAAGTCGCCGGCCAATGTTATTCAATGGAGCTGTCTTAACTCCATGTCGCGCGTCGCTCGTCGCGGTCGCAAGTCGCTTCTACCGGACCCTTTTTTCGGCGGATTTTGCGCGATTTTACTTTTTTTCTATGGAGCCCGACGGGGAAGGTCGCGCTACCGTCGCTGGATCGTCGCTGGAACGTCGCCCCGAAAGTCGCGCTATCCCGGCCGTGCGGATCCGCTGCAAAAGGTATGTCGCTATATGTGAACGGGGCCTAAGGCCTCGCAAACTCTAGAGCCGCCTCTGGTCATGGGGACTTCTTAAGTTGCGATTGTTTTGTTAAGTGATGCTCCAGTTTCAGACAGCCGCAGGACAAGTGCAGGTGAAAACAGGCGCAAAACACGTGCAGTTGGAAAAGTAGTGCAAGCTCAGATCAAAACAGGCGCACATGTTAAAAGACAGATTTGCACATTAAAAAAATTATCTAAGAGGCTAAAACTGTTGCAATTGCTTTGATAAATTCCCCCCACTGTATCAAACGTGACCTTTGAACCCGCAGTAAATACGTTTTTTTGTATCTGTCCGCAGATGGCTGGAAATAATGTTTTTGTAAGATAAATGCAATGGGGGGTCTATGAGTGTGTAATGGTATTGGGGTCAGTCTTACCTCTATGGAGACACACACACACGAGGTTTTGCTCCTTACCAATTTAGTCTTGGTGGGGTGGGGGGAGGCACATAGGAGGGGTGGGAGTTCCAGCTACTCTGTGCTGCATTCTTTAGGTTATCATTAACCACAAAACCAGCTGGAGGAGGAGGAGGAGGAGGAGGGGGCCAGTCCTGGGGAACTGTGATCCTTCCCTAACAAGGGCACACATGGGGAGGGCAGTAGAATGGTGTGACCTGTATGGACCATGACCAACGTGTACCCCTAAACTTAACCCCGTTATCACCAGGGGGTACTTTATGCCTTTGTGACTGCTCAGGTTTTTACGGATTTTGTTTCTTTATTTTGATTGCACGCAGTGTATCAGAAACTCCCTGACCATAAGGAGCAGAGGAAGGTTGATCTTGGTGCCAGAGCAATGTTTTTGAGTCCCAGCACTTTCATTTTGGCATTGCCTAGAGGGAAGAACTCATACTCAAAGTCAGGGAAGATGGACCCTTAGGCTCACCATACATAAATAATGGTGTGTGTGTGTGTGCGCGTGTGCGGGGGGGGGGGGGGG